GGAGGGGGGGGGTGTCTTGGGAAATAACGGTGACCAGCATGATGCTGACCACATCACCCATCAAGTGCCAATTGGTCTACAAAATATAGGTCTAGCCCCGTATGCCCTATTATTACAGATGAAGGCGTGGAAAAGGTCCTATAATGAAGACACCTCCATGGTTAAGACGAGCCTATTTTGTTCAGACCAAAATTGAGAAAAAAAATATTTTAAACACATTCCGTGTATAGGTTTTTGAAAACAGAGTCTTAGGACGAATCTTTGGACCTATCAGAGATGCAAACAGCAGTGAATAGAGAGTGAGAAGCAACAACAAAATTCATAATCTGTTTAAATCACCACTGATGACTGGCATCATGAGAGCTAATAGACTGAAATGTTTGGGGCATATTGAAAGTATGTCAGATGACAGAGAAGTAAAAACTGTATACTCGAGGGAGATAAATGGTCATAGACCACGGGCAGACTAAGTAGACGATGGAGAGATAATATCCAGACAGACCTGCAAACACTTGGTGTCACCAACTGGAAAGAGAAGGCCAACCAGAGAGATGTATGGAGGCGGGTGTATCTTCAGCAGTGAACCTCAAGGCTCGGAATGCTGAAGAAAGAGAAGAAGACATTCAGTGTATAAGGTGATCAGTATTTTAAAACTGAAAATATTTGGAAAAATTTGGGAAAACATATCATCTTATATACAGAAATATATGGCAATTTCAGTTTGACATAAGCTCACCAAAACAAACTCGACTTATATAAAATTGTTGCATGTTCTTTGTCCATCACCAGTGATGAAGACCACTTTCATCCAAAGTGAAAGCTGGATGAAAGGGACTTGCGCAAGGACTTGGATTTAAGTGAGGAAGAGTTGCGCAACTCGTCGACCTCACTCTCTCGCCTGTGTCCATCTTGATCCAATGGCAGGACAGTGTCGAGATGATTGGAAATGGACCTACGTGCAGTGAATGACCAAGGCTTCTTAAATGACCTGCCTAGTTTTTAGCTCTCCACAGAGCCTGCTGGTAATTGCCTTTTTGTCTGTTGAACCAAAAAGAGGTTTCATCTGTACAATCGGCCGAGTCCAGTCATTGCATGCAGAGCTTCATTAAGCCTTTATTCTGTAAACTTTTTAAAGTGGTACCAGGTAATATCATGGGAAGTAAAGGTGGCCAGCGTGATGTTGAACACATCCCCCATCTAGGACTGATTGGTGTGAAAAATATGTGTAGCATTATGTACCGTACATGCAAAAATGCATGAAAAGGGTCCGTTGCTTTGTATATTTTAGTTTGTTTTTTTACTGTTATTTCCTTGCTTGCAGTGATACGACAAGGAGAATATGGAAATAACTGGTACACTGTCATATCCGGCAGTCTTGCTGTTTATCTTTCAGAAAAGAACAGAACAAAGGTATTTATGGAATTTAATTATGTGTGAGACATGTTACCTGAAACGCCGTGTGCCGTGATGTTGGTCCATTGTTCAAACTTTAAACCCTGAAACATCCTGGCTACTGAGCTCTGGTAAAGTTTTCATGGGCCCAGCAAGCTAGCAGTGAATTTATTATTGCTGCAAAGAATGCAACGCTTGCCTGCAGATCCGAAGGTTGTGGGTTTGAATCTAAGTGGAGCCGGACATTAAAAAAATATGACCTTGGCTTTCAGGTCAACCCAGCCTTGAATGGATACGAGATTAAAGTCCTGGGAAGTAAACATGACGGGCATGATGCTAACTTTATGACTCACTGAGTGCCGATTGGTCTATAAAGTAGAGGTCCAGCCCTCTCTGCTCAGTATGCCTGAAGGCAGGGAAAAGGGTCCTTTTATAGAGAAGACAATGAGATATAAAGACTGATCAAACGGTATTTGACCGTGGCAGTGTTAGAGAATCTCTACATCAATACAGTGTGTCCGTGGTCTAGGCAGCCAGAAGAGCAAGGAGAAGAAACTTTTATCTCCCTCGACAACCAGAACAGCAAAAGAGGAGTGAAAAAGAAGAAAACGACATACAAGTATATATTATCTTCTTATCTCACAGTACCTTCTGCAAAATCACCAAGTCGTCTTGTCCCTATCCGAACACCATCCGGTAATTTCGTGCAGCAGGGGAAACCAACCCTGAGCTTCATTAACTCAGGTGGGCCCACTCTCTGAAAACGTCTAGGAGCTCGTGGGCCGAAACGTTTGTCGACGAGAGATTACTTATACTGACGATTGGTAGATCCCTGCTGTACATGCTCCCCTGTGGAGTTTCTTCTTATTCTTATATCTGGTTTTCATTCAACTTAAGAGATGTGATTTATAAAGGACCCTTTTTGACATCAGTGGCACATCAGGAGTATCATACTAGCTAGATTTATATTTGTATAGACAAGTCAGCACTTGCTAACTTTCAACACATTGGCAACTATGAATCTCTTTTAACCTCTTTGAGTCTCTCTAATATGCTGTTATATTATGTTATTTCGATTTACAGAACTGTCTCTGTTTTTATTGCCCATGTGATAAACGGTTGAGTAATATGGTAAACATATTAATTCAGTAAATTAGCAAACTAATTCAGTGTTAAATGCCAGTGTGGGTTCGGTGCCTCATTATGTGTTAAATGCCAGTGTGGGTTTGGTGCCTCATTATGTGTTAAATGCCAGTGGGGGTTCTGTGCCTCATTATGTGTTAAATGCCAGTGTGGGTTCGGTGCCTCATTATGTGTTAAATGCCAGTGTGGGTTTGGTGCCTCATTATGCGTTATATGCCAGTGTGGGTTTGGTGCCTCATTATGTGTTAAATCCCAGTGTGGGTTCGGTGCCTCATTATGCGTTAAATCCCAGTGTGGGTTCGGTGCCTCATTATGTGTTAAATCCCAGTGTGGGTTCGGTGCCTCATTATGCGTTAAATCCCAGTGTGGGTTCGGTGCCTCATTATGTGTTAAATCCCAGTGTGGGTTCGGTGCCTCATTATGTGTTAAATCCCAGTGTGGGTTCGGTGCCTCATTATGTGTTAAATCCCAGTGTGGGTTCGGTGCCTCATTATGCGTTAAATCCCAGTGTGGGTTCGGTGCCTCATTATGTGTTAAATCCCAGTGTGGGTTCGGTGCCTCATTATGCGTTAAATCCCAGTGTGGGTTCGGTGCCTCATTATGTGTTAAATCCCAGTGTGGGTTCGGTGCCTCATTATGCGTTAAATCCCAGTGTGGGTTCGGTGCCTCATTATGTGTTAAATCCCAGTGTGGGTTCGGTGCCTCATTATGTGTTAAATCCCAGTGTGGGTTCGGTGCCTCATTATGTGTTAAATCCCAGTGTGGGTTCGGTGCCTCATTATGCGTTAAATCCCAGTGTGGGTTCGGTGCCTCATTATGTGTTAAATCCCAGTGTGGGTTCGGTGCCTCATTATGCGTTAAATCCCAGTGTGGGTTCGGTGCCTCATTATGTGTTAAATCCCAGTGTGGGTTCGGTGCCTCATTATGCGTTAAATCCCAGTGTGGGTTCGGTGCCTCATTATGTGTTAAATCCCAGTGTGGGTTCGGTGCCTCATTATGTGTTAAATCCCAGTGTGGGTTCGGTGCCTCATTATGCGTTAAATCCCAGTGTGGGTTCGGTGCCTCATTATGTGTTAAATCCCAGTGTGGGTTCGGTGCCTCATTATGCGTTAAATCCCAGTGTGGGTTCGGTGCCTCATTATGTGTTAAATCCCAGTGTGGGTTCGGTGCCTCATTATGCGTTAAATCCCAGTGTGGGTTCGGTGCCTCATTATGTGTTAAATCCCAGTGTGGGTTCGGTGCCTCATTATGCGTTAAATCCCAGTGTGGGTTCGGTGCCTCATTATGTGTTAAATCCCAGTGTGGGTTCGGTGCCTCATTATGCGTTAAATCCCAGTGTGGGTTCGGTGCCTCATTATGTGTTAAATCCCAGTGTGGGTTCGGTGCCTCATTATGCGTTAAATCCCAGTGTGGGTTCGGTGCCTCATTATGTGTTAAATCCCAGTGTGGGTTCGGTGCCTCATTATGCGTTAAATCCCAGTGTGGGTTCGGTGCCTCATTATGTGTTAAATCCCAGTGTGGGTTCGGTGCCTCATTATGTGTTAAATGCCAGTGTGGGTTCGGTGCCTCATTATGCGTTAAATCCCAGTGTGGGTTCGGTGCCTCATTATGGGATAAAAAAGAACAGACCCACTGCCTCCCAAAAAACATATCGGAATAGTTGACTAACTGGAGGCTTATTTCAAAGTCAGAGTACATCTGCTCGAGAGGGAAGGAATCAACAGTCAGCATTTAAATATGTCAGATCTGTAAAACAGATGTGCATGCAACGCTCGAGTTCCAGAGCAAGACTTACAAGAGGTGGATGAACAACCAGAAATGTTTACAGCTGGTGATGCGAAGAAGAAGAAGAAGTCAGAGGGAAATTATATAATTCTGATCCATTAATCAGTCATTTTAATATACTTGGCATTTGCAGTATGAACACGAAGAAGAAGATGAAGAGGACGATGAAGATAAAGTGCCACCAAAACTGGCAAAAGATGATTACCATATAGTGGACAGACCAGAGCAAGTCATTGTTCTACACCTTAGAACAAGGCACTGTCAATTTCACAGCCATATGTACACAAAATTTAAAATTGGCAAATCAGCCATGTGACTTAGCACCTGAGACAACAGATCATGTTCTCCAAGACTGTCCTAAATACACCATACCACAGCACATTTTTTTTGCCAAGAGAAACACTGGTGCAAGCTAAAAATTATGGGTCACTGAGTGAATTACAAAAGACAGTGAAGTTCATTCTAGAGACAACACTGCAGATATAGATAACTATTGCAAGTGAATAAAGGAAGAAGAAGAAAAAAAATGTGATATTTTTATCTGTTTCAAGGCTGGTCAACCTCTGTGTGTTCTGGGACCTGGTGCCTCGTTTGGAGAAGGTATCCTCACCCAAAACCCACACCTGGTGAGCGTGGTAACCACCAGCAAAGTGGAGCTGCTCTGGTTAGAGTTCAAAGACATGAAACTTCTATGGGAGGTAGGTACATGCTTCTTTAAGTTTTCACTTAGGTAGTCTGGTTATTGCAGTTTCAACTTCATAGTAATGGGTCACCTAGTAGATTGCTGCGTTCCTGTGCCAGTGAAAATTTCACAGAATGTCCATCACTGTCCCCTGTGAAAAAAATGTGCTCAGACTACAGTCTCAGCCAAAACCAGTAGGATACACATGCACATTAAATTCATAAAGCAACCATAAGAAGTGCCAACACAAACAGACCAGCACTAGAAATGCAGTCCATCATCGATGGAAGCAGCATTGACAACAGATCAGTAGTTGCAATGCTGTTAATCGCATAAGGCACCAAAAGGTGTTTGACAACAAGTAAGTAATCATTTTCTGAATCTACAGTTCCATTTATTTATGTTTGTGTGTGCATGCATGGCATGGGTGGGCAAGTTTTTTCTGCTGTCATGTCTGTTTGTGTGTGTAGATGTATGTGCTGCCTGAGCTACTGAGTTTAGGGCTTGGTGCAGCCCTGTGAGCTGTGTTTTCATGTCGAATACCTTTCATTTGTGCAGCGGTTGTGTCGTGGTATTGTGATATTCAATATGACAGGTAGCAGGTTAACGTGTGAGCTTGTGAAATACTTTATGTAATAATTCACCAACATATCAGGCCCAACTACTTCCACCAACAAAATGCATTTTTGGTGGCATCTGTTGGCTTTGTTGCCTCTAGCAACTGCCATATACATTTACTGCATAGGCATATGTCTGAATTGTGTCGGGACTAATTTTTTGTTCACCAGTTTTTCAAATGGGAAAGTGAGGGACATTTAATTTGATTCTCACTGGCACAGGAACAGAGCAAGTATGAGGAAATCCGATTGCAGTGAAGTTGAAACCTTGACTAGTGTTGAATCTTGAATTAAGTATCGACATTACAGCACTCAGGACACCCCCATAAGCGCTCCATCCCCATCTTCGGCAGCAAACAAAGCATTCCAATTCTGATGGCACCATTAACTGATTGTATATCCGTCTCGCCTTTCCCCTGAGTGTTGAGCGCTGCCTGCTCATTTCCCTACACACAAGCATAACTGGAGAAAATATTTAAAGGATGCTTACTACCCAGGGGCTCTGAAGTGATGCTTGCCACTCTGCACAGAGTATGCCTGTCTTACCTTTCTCAACATGCTCTATAAGTCAGTTACAGTCAAAGTCAGATACCTTGACTAAGACTAAGGTGTGTGTGCATGCATGTGTGTGTGTCTCTCTCTCTGTCTGTCTGTCTCTGTCTGTGTGTGGGTGTGTGCCTGTGTCTGTCTGTGTGTCTGTCTCTGTCTGTCTATGTCTGTCTGTGTGTGTGTGCTTGTTGCATGGGTGGATAAGTTCAATCTCCTGTCATGTCTCTGAGTGTGTGTATGTGCGTGCGTGTGTGTGCTGCGTGGATAGGAAAGTGCAGTTTGCTGTCATGTCTCTTTGTGTCTTTGCGAGTGTTTTTGTGAGGGAAGAGAGAGTGTGAGAGGGAAATCATGAGGGGCAGGATGGGATAAATAGAGAGAAAGAGGGGTGGAGAGAAAAATGGAGGGAAAGGGCAATAGAGAGGGGAGAGAATATTGAGAGGGTGGGAGAGAGAAATTGAAAGAGTGGGAGATAAATATATAGAAGTAGAGAGGGGAAGGAGGGAAAACTAGAGAAAGGGGGGAAGAGAGTAGACAAGTATGTGAATAAATGTGTGTGTGTGAATAAGTGAGGGAGGGAACTCAGTTGGTTGGATAACTGGATTCTTAGGGGGGTATATGTATTCATGTATAAAAGGTCATCTGTCCTGTTCAGTCACAGTGAATAAAATGTTAACACACATTTTATGTTCAACACAATTCTGGTTATCTTTATCAGGTGTACATAAAAAAACAAAGTAAAACAAAAAAGAGATGTCTGTAAATAAGCTTGTACGGACAACAAACATTTAATGTTCTGACTAACAAGACACACAGAGTTTTTTATATAGTGTACTGGAAACTGCAGATGAAATCATTCTGTTTACAATATTTGTCTACAATTTTATATCATGACTAATACAAATTGGGGTGCCCTTGATAGTGATATAAATGTAATTACTTAGCATATTTAGGAGCCGGCATGGTGTAGCGGCTTGATGCTCGCCTGTGGATCAAAAGGTTGTGGGGTCAAATCTGCATGACCTTAGCATACACACATACATACATACACACACATACACATGCATGTCCGCCCACCCACACACACACACACACACACACATACTTGCTTAAGATAAACACTCGCTTAACATGAACAAAGTTTGCTGCTGGCAAGGATGTACATGTATTGTTACAGCATATTAGTCCCCTGTTAGCACACGTTTTTTTTAACACAAACTCTTGATTTTTCAGTGCCTTGGAATTCATATTAACAAGGTTTTGCTCGTGTATTGCATTAAATCATATTATATATTTATCATTTCACAGAAGAACAAAGTGATGATGGAGACTGCAGTCACAAATTTAGCAAATTTGCCCAATTTAAATGGTAAGTCTCACTAAGTGTTTATTGCATGATCAGACAGTCTGCAAGATCATATCTTCACATTCTTTCAGAGTGGGATTGCAACTGTCTGAGAGGCGAGGAACCAACAGTCTGCATTCAGATAATAAGCCAGATGTGCATACAAAACTCAAATTCTAGAACACAACCAAAGTCCAGAAGTGGTCAAACAACTGGAACTTTCTGCCAAAGAACTTCAAAGAAAACTAGCTTAAATGTACTGTACTGTTAAATATTCTTTTTTTGGGACTTTGTTAAAGGATTTCTCTCTCTTTTGTTACTGTCTTTGTTTCTTTTGTTAAAGTTTATCTTTGTCTCCTTTATCCTTCTCTGTCTCCCTCTTTTCTTCTGAATCCTTACCGCTATCTTGGCTAATCATGCGTAACTGTTGTATGCAAACTCAGACTAGAATGGGTTGACAGCATTCAGAAGTCCCCCCTAGAGAAACTATCTTGGCTGTACACACCTAGGTGAGAGGAAATGAAACAGCCCACAGACTGGCCATATCTGCAATGATTAGTGGTGGAAGAAGCCTGGACAGGGCAGACATACCGAGTGTACTGCGTTCTAGAAACATTGAGATAAAGGAGTCAGAGACAATGAACCAGCTGTTGGAAATGGGTATTAAACATAGAAAAGCTCGCAGAAATCGGTTACGAAGCAAAGAAAGAAGATAGGCCAGTTAACTCCTTCTCTGTATGTTGAGTGTGGAGACTGCCTGTATTTGAAATCTAAAAAAATTTTCAACAAATTTCTGTGTATGTGTGTGTGGTCAAAGACTAGCTTTTGTCTGTTCTGCACTTCTCAGATGACATGAAGAAAATTCTGGCTGGCAGAGATGTTGACCCACAAGAGTTGACCCCAAATCCAGCAGCTCCTGTTTCTGCGGTAGGAAGATAACAGTATTGATAAGTAATGTTGGTTGGGGATTCATTGAGAACACTATTCTTTTTCTTCTTCTCACCCTCTTCACTTCCCTGATTACGGCTTCAGGTGTTAAGGAAGATATGAGTTTCTGCTTCCTGCTGTTCTGGCTGCCTCGACCATAGACGCATCATGCTGTTGTAGAGTTTCTCTAATGTTATCTTTCCATCTTGTTCTTGGTCTACCTTGTGCTATGCATTATTCTCCTCTTTTAGTAAATGCCTTGTATGGTGTGGTGTCACAAGGTTTTCTCTCTAAGTGTGAAAAACCATTTGATTTGCTGTTTTTATATGTGATTTAGAACTGGTTCTTTGCCAAGGAACAAGACCATTCTAGAACATTCTATCGGAGTTTACAGCCAGTAAACACTAAGAAGAATGTTGGCCAGATCTCCTGCTCACTTCCTGCTGCACTATTCTCTCCACACCTTTACTATCTATCCCCACTTCCACATTCCTCCTCATGCACATTACCTAATATTAGTTTTTATGGATTAAATAGTTTAGCTACTTTTTTTTAGCTATTTTTGTAGTTAGTTATATCATTATGTGGGATCCTTCGTGGTATAGCTGCTAGGTGTTCACCTGCAGATCCAAAGGTCAGGGATTCAAAACCAGACTTTTTCAAAAATGACATTGACTCCCAAATTATCCCAGCCTTAAATTGGTACGGGGTGAAGTCCTTGAAAATATAGGCGGTTGGCATGACAAGGCAGATGTGGTTGGGACCTTATGGGAGAGCGTTAAAATTTGGGTGAGCAAATGGATCCCCACAGTCTGGTGAGAGTGATGCAGCGGGGAGTGACGAGGGGATCTGGCCGATACATGATGCTCAGAGGAAAGCCAAGACGAACATATAATCAGGATGCTACTGGCACCATTGGTATTGGGACTCTGGGCTGGCTGCTGAAGATGTGGATGGAGCGCTTATGGGATTGCCCTGAGTGCTGTGAGGTTGGTTCTTGAATCAACTCAACTCAGTCTAAGAAGATCATAGCTGATGCCTGAGCGAAGCAGTAATGATAACAACAAAAATGTCAGTATACTGCACCCACAGGGTCAAAACACACAGCACATTGTGGGTGACTTGCGTTATTAAATTGATTTGAATTGATTTAGTTTCCCTATCTAAACTTTAGATGTACAACTATACAAAAGTTGACTGGGGCACATGAGTAATATCCAGTACATATGGTGCGTTGTTTAGAACCAAAAGAGTTACACTTTTAGGTACCGATAAACTGAAGAAAGAAGTAGAAGCAATGCATCAAACACCAATTTATAAGTAATTTAACTGTCTTTTGGCATTGAAAGAGTTCAATGTACAGCCTACCAGATTGTAAATCCTCGAACTTTGTAGCACCGGCGAGGATTTCTGAAATACTTTGGGTAGATTTTTAACTTATATTTTGCCCGGGCTGCACCATTAGGCTACTCTTTTTGATTACAAGGAGTCTGTTGGTGGCAGGGCCTTGTACCCATTGTCCCCATGTGGGTTCCAGGGCCCCGTTGTGGGGAAAAACAAGAATAGACCCACTGCCTACCCAAAAGCATGTCGTAAGAGTCGACTAATTGGGAGCTTCGTTGAAAGTTAGAGTAAATTTGCCTGAGCGGCAGGAAACCAACAATCTGCATGCAAATGGGTCAGACCTATGAAACGGATGTACACGCAACACACAGATTCTGGAACAGGACTGGAGTCCTGAAGTGGACGAACAACCAGAACTTTTTGCCGGTGTTTGCAGCCAATGAACGCGAAGAAGAAGAAGAAGTACCCGTTGGCGATGCTGTTTAGAACAGTCTGCCTTGTGCAAGTATGCATAAGAGTCATACATCTGAATGGTGTTTGTGGTTTTATTTGCACTGGTTTGCTGTCTTTCTGCTGTTACACAGTGCACATTCTTTGAAGAAGTTTGAGTCAGAAGATCCTATGTGCGGTGTGAGCAGTTGTTATATGACTGTGTTTGCCCGGCTTGTTTGCTCAGTTGGTTAAACCTGACAGCGTGGCGACCCAGTGACGAACTCCTTGTGGTCCGGGTTTACGCCTGGGAGTAGGCAGAAAAGTCACACTTCTCCCAGACTTACAGTATCTATCATGTAATCAAGGCCGACGGGTTGCGATATCCATAGTACCGAGCCAAAGAGTTAACAACTCATGGTTTCTGGATATTTAAAAAAAAATAGGATAGTGTTTCCACAAAGTGTCACTATAGGGGCTGATATAATTCTCACATAAGGTGAGTTTTTATATTTGGAACACATTTCCACTGCTGGAACTTACTGCCATGATTTGTGAATGTATATCATTGGACTACATCACAGTGCCTTAAGAAAGAAAATAGGGGCTTTTGAGCCGAAATGCTATAGAAAGATTCTCAGAATACCATGGATCAAGAAGAGAAGGAATACTGACATTTTAAAAGATTTGATCATCAAGGAAGATTGGCTAGTAAACAGCATCTTGTCTTGGTAGCTGAAATATTTTAGCCATATCAAGCGCCATGGCCAATTGGAAAAAATAATAGCAGAGAGCATGGTACCGGGAAGGAGGGGGAAGGAGTTTCTTTCAGGTAGATCGTGATGAGAGCGGCCTTCTGCAAAGGACCTGCTACATGATGATGAGGCTAGTGTATGTTAATTCTAGAAAAATATGGATGGCCTGCACCGAATTATCTACAGATTTTGTACAGTTAATAACGGTTCTAGTTTACACTGTTCCTCTTCAAGTTGTGTTGGTAGTTTCCGAGTTGCTACTTTTTTGATCTTTTGCTCGATTGCTTTTGAAAACATACACCACTCATTTTGTTGCCTACAACTCCTTTGCTTACATCTTCCCATGGTCATCTGCTCTCATATCTAACAGTCCCTTATTTAAGGCTATCATTCCTAGACAGTTGTTACTTTAATGTGTTGTACACTAAGAATTTGTTATGTTTCGAGGCATGATTTTCTAGGGATAACAAATTCTTAGTATACAACTTACGACAGACATCAGAAGGAGACAGTCATAATTTTTTGGCCATGTTATGAGAAGAGGGAAAATGGAACATGTTATGACCACTGGAAAGGTCTGTGAAAGGAGGGATAGAGAAAGACAACGAGAGAAGATTCTTGACAGTCTTGCTGCATGGCATGGAGGTGCACATAAACTGATACATGCTGCAGGAGATCGCGGATTGTGAGAGGTCTGATCACCCACCCCAGTCGGCAAGGCGCTGATGATGATGATGATGATACTAAGAAGTTTTAAAATATTAAGTGTTAAGGCCAGAATGAGTTACACAAGAGACATCATGAGGCTGCAGACCTTAGACTTATAATTAGGATACACTGAGTGAATGTAGAAGTTATCAGTTATTGAAGAATGCAAGAACAGTATGTTGTCTTTGCAGTCACCAAGAAACGCATAGTGAACAAACTGCTTGGTACGCAAAGAATTAACTGGCTCATTTCAATCTCTTTGTAACTTGTTTATGATTAAGATTGCTTCAGAGGTCCCAGACAAATCCCAGCATTCTTTGGATATTTTCTCGAGGTCATGCAGGTGTGTTGGGAAATGAGCAGGCAGGTAGACTGTCTGGTTCTGCACCAGTTGGTGGTGAATCGATGTATGACAAGCTAGGTTTTGTGAGGGCCCTTTCAAAGTGAGTGAACAGTGCTGAGGTACAAACAGATCATTACAGTCTGAGGAGAATGGTGCCGCGAGGAGTTACCAGGGCACCTGGCCGACTCTCAACACACAAGGGAAAAGTGAGACAGATAAGCAGTCAAACAGTTACTGGTGCCATCAAAATTTTAACTCTTCGCTTGCTGCTGAAGATGGGTACGGTGCACTTATGGGAGTGTCCTGAGTGCTGTGATGTCGATTTTTAGTTCAACATTTATGGTTTAGTTGCATTTTGCATTTGTTTTCTTTGGGATGAGTAGCCAAGTTGTTTTTGAGCACTTGCCTCTTTCAAAACATCTGTGTTACTCTTCTTAGCTGTCTAAGGAATTCTAAGGATTCTTCTGTAAAACCGCATCTTTGAGGCCTCAAGATATTGTTTGGCTTGTTTATTAGTTGTCCAGCATTCACAGCTGTATGTTAAAACCGGCTCTGTATAGTTTGTGAGAATTTGATTCCTAACCTGCAATGACGTATTTATTGTACAAAATGTTCTTCATTTTATAAAAGGCAATTTTGGGCCTGTCCTATTCTGTTCTTGATCTCTGTGATACATCTTCCATTGGATTTTATCCATGTGCCCAACTACTACAATTTCTGTACTTGTCCTAAAATAATGCCTCTGACTTCTATTCTATTATACATTTAGTGACTATTATTTTCTTGGAAGTCACCATTACTTATGTCTTCCCGTTATTCAGACTGAAGCCCATTTTATCACAAGAATAGCACACATTTACAGAAATTTATTTAAACAAGCTAGTAGGTATGAGATGGCCTTTTTTCTTTGTTCTTTTAGCATCAACTGGCTGTAAACTCTGGCAGGAAATTCTTTTTATTCATCCACTTCCAGACTCAGGTCTTGTTCCACAGTCTGAGTTTTGCATGCACATATGTTTTACAGATCTTGCTTATTTGCACACAGGCTGTTGGTTCTTTGCCTCTCAAGCAGATACACTCCAACTTTGAGGGAAATCCGTATTTAGTCGACTTCTGTGACATGCTTGTTAAGGAGGCAGTGGGTTTATTCTCTCTACACCCGCTTTCTGAGTTTGTAGCGGTGAAGGAGAGCTCTGCAACACAGTCAAGTTTTTCCTGGTTCTTGTACTGAAATGAAGTTAATATGCAGTATGCTTTCATCTTCTTTTTGTGGTATCCGGGGAGGAAAAAAATAAAAGAGCCACTGCCCGCCATAACAAGCATGTGGTAGAAGGTGACTGGAAAGATATCAAACCAAACAAAAAGTAGAACCAGTCAGCTTCACATTATCACAAACACAGATGAGTGAACACTGCAGCTAGAAAGCCTTTTTCAGCACATTGCATAAATGGACGATGGTACAATAACAAATAAGAACATAAAATCACTTAGCTGAGGTATCTGTGAGAGATATCACAACTGTGGCCAGTTCATTCTCTGACATGTGTTTGAACACCAGAAATTATTAATTAAGGGTATTTCATTTCAAGTCGGAGTGCATCTGACTGAGAGGCAAGGAACCAATAATTTGCATTTAAACTAGCCAGATCTGCATGCAAAACTCAAATTCTGAAACAAGACCGAAGTCCAGAAGTATGGCAGTGAACGCAAAGAAGGAAACGAAAATGATCTACTTGTATCTGTTAATGATACTGTCTGCAGGTGGACTGGATCCTGGATGTGTTTCCCAGGGTTGAATGTCGAGAACAAGCTGTTGGGATGTGCCAGGCTTTGTTAGAAGATGGTGTGCTTATCCATGGTACTGATTTTACTTGTTTTCTTTACAGTAACAATGTAAACAACATTTTAACACAGAAGACGTAAACAATAGATTACACAACTTATTGCCTGGCATATTTTGCTCTATCTTGTCAGGTGCATGCTACAGTAACAATTACATAAATGAAGCAAATTAAATGAATCCCTTTATAACTGAAGAACAAATGCAACAACAATCAAACAGAGAAATGTGTGTCAATTTCGTGTTATTAGTTCCTATCAGAAGCATGTGTTCATTTCATTTCATCTTATTTCATACATTTTTTAGAGGTGTTCGTTTAATACTTTTTAATCTGTTCTCAACAAGTTTTTATTTTTATTTTTAATGATCAATATACTGTTTGTTTTCGTTCTGTTTATAGAGAAGCATATTTTATTTCTGCTTAATATACTTGAAGGGAGTCGCCGTGGAAGAGCGGCTAGACGCTCGCCTCGGATTGGAAGGCCATGAGTTCGCTCCCTGGCGGAACCGGACTTTTTCAAAAGTGACCTTGGCTCCTTGGTTGACTCAGCCTTGAGTGGGTACCGGGTGCAGTCCCAGGAAGTAACGGTGGCCAGCATGATGCTGACCACATCACCCATCTTGTTCCATCTTGTTGGCTAATCAAATTTAGGTATAGCCCTGTATGCCCTATACGCCTAAAGGCGTGGAAAAGGCTCCTTTACTACAATATACTTGAAGGCGTGGAAAAGGTCCTTTACTTTTTTCCTCAATTTTCTTTCAGTCTGTAGGGAACATCCATTTCTGGACAAGTATTTATTCTATCGCTTCCTCGAAGACGACAAGGGTTCATGGTCATTTCCCACTGATATCGATCTGGAAAAGGCTGAAGATGATTTCTTTGATGTTTTGACTTCACTAGTTCAAGTTAGCCCCGATGCCATCATGCGACAGATTCTCAGAAAAACGTGAGTGTGCTTAATTCTTTTGCTCCCATAAGATTTTGTGCAAATGTCATTATTTTTCACTAAATTTTGCCACGAAAACTGTTACCACTTGCTGTGCTGTAGCAGTAAACAATGAATAAAAGTAGTTATGTATACCTTGGACTGCCAGAATAACTAACATTGATTGTCTGGAAATGGCTAATAAAAATAGAACATTATATACAACAATTCCCCGTGTGAGTTCCGGGGCCCTATTGTAGGGAAAATAAGAACAGTCCCACTGGCTACCTAAAAGCATGTCCTAATAGTCGACTACTTGGGAGCTTTCCTTCAAAGTCTGAGAGGCAAGGAACCAGCAGTCTACATACAAATTGGCCAGATCTGTCAAACGGATGTACACACAACACTCAGGTTTTGGAACAGAACTGCAGTGTAGAAGGGGACGAACAACCAGAACTTTCCACCATAGTTTACATTTGGTTTACTAGAAGAAGAAGAAGATATACAACAATGAGAAGGGGTTCTTTAGTCATGTGATGAGAAAAGGAGCACCAGAGAATATCGTGATGACTGGAAAAATCAGTGGTTATAGAGGCAGAGGCAGACCAGGAGAAATGATAGTGGATGGCTAAGATAATGGCATGGAGGAATATCATCAGTGAAGACCAACATCTGTGGAGATGCATGAACGCCTGCGCCAGCTGGCAAAGTACTTCATGATAATAATGTGGTTACCAGATTTTTTTTTTTAGTATTCACTGACCAAAACTGAAATTTAAATTCTTTGTTCTCCAAAATGGAGTCCCAGAACCCACACATGAAGTAGAAGTATTCAGAATTGTTACCTGTGGTTTTGGAGCTCACAGAGGGAGCAACACTGTAACTTACCATGCATGTCATAGGGGGCAGCTAAGGAAGGTTGGCATGGGCCTGGCTTCCTCATATCATAGAAAACTATAGCTTCCTCTACAGTAACAAAATTTGGCGAAATATGCCAGGCAGTAAATTGTGCAATCTATCATTTGTGTCTTCTAAATAGATTTAGTGAACACACTGACAATCGGCACTCATAGAAAGATAAAAGATCACACTAGACACCATACAAATCGAAAGCTTAGTTACCTTGCCGGTTATTAAACCTGTCACCCTTAAATGATGTATGCGCCTCGTGATGGACAAAAGTGGAGGGAATCAGTAGTGAACATGCTGTATTTTTTCCTTGTTATCTGCCACAGGCCGGATGAAAGAAGTCAGGAGGAGATTGAGATCATCTACGAAGAACTACTCCAGATTAAACCTCTTCAGCATTTGTCATACACTGTGAAGAGAGAACTGGCGGGCGTCATCATGTTTGAATCTCATCCAAAATCTGGAACTGTTTGTAAGTCAAAGACCCTTTCTTCTTCTTCTTCGCCTTCACCGGCTGTAAACTCTGGCGGAAAGTTCTGGTTGCTCCTCCACTTCTGGACTCTAGTCCTGTTCCAGAAACTGAGTGTTGCATGCACGTCCACTTTCACAGGTCTGACTAATTTGCATGCAGACTGTTGGTTCCTTGTCTCTCCGTCAGATGTACTACGACTTCGAAGGAAGCACCAAATGAGTCGACCCCTACGAGATGTCTTTGGGCAGGCAGTGGGTCTATTCTTGTTCTCCCTACAATGGAACTCTGGAACCCACACAGGGACTCTTTTTATCCCGTTGCGCATAGGGCAAATGATGCTAAACTCAAATTTTGTGTATACCAATCAGTCCTCGATGGGTGATGTGATCAGCATCATGCCAGCCACCTTTACTTCCCAGCACTTTACCTGGTACCCTTTTTCAAACTAGGTGGACCTGGAAGTTAAGGTCGTTGTTGTTTTTTTTTTTGTTTTTTTTAATGCTTGCTCTTGTATGTTATCATCATTTTTAGTTTCATTTCTTGTCTAGTTTCATTTCTTGTCTAGTTTCATTTCTTGTCTAGTTTCATTTCTTGTCTAGTTTCATTTCTTGTCTAGTTTCATTTCTTGTCTAGTTTCATTTCTTGTCTAGTTTCATTTCTTGTCTAGTTTCATTTCTTGTCTAGTTTCATTTCTTGTCTAGTTTCATTTCTTGTCTAGTTTCATTTCTTGTCTAGTTTCATTTCTTGTCTAGTTTCATTTCTTGTCTAGTTTCATTTCTTGTCTAGTTTTCATTTCTTGTCTAGTTTCATTTCTTGTCTAGTTTCATTTCTTGTCTAGTTTTATTTCTTGTCTAGTTTCATTTCTTGTCTAGTTTCATTTCTTGTCTAGTTTCATTTCTTGTCTAGTTTCATTTCTTGTCTAGTTTCATTTCTTGTCTAGTTTCATTTCTTGTCTAGTTTCATTTCTTGTCTAGTTTCATTTCTTGTCTAGTTTTCATTTCTTGTCTAGTTTCATTTTTTGTCTAGTTTCATTTCTTGTCTAGTTTCATTTCTTGTCTAGTTTCATTTCTTGTCTAGTTTCATTTCTTGTCTAGTTTCATTTCTTGTCTAGTTTCATTTCTTGTCTAGTTTCATTTCTTGTCTAGTTTCATTTCTTGTCTAGTTTCATTTCTTGTCAGTATATTATTACTTTTCATTTTTTTATGTTTCAGTATATGTTATATTACTTTCCAGTTTTCATCTTGCAGTATGTGTTATATTACTTTCTAAATTTAACTTTTAATGCGTTATATTACTTTGCAATATTTGTTTTTCATATCAGCAAATGTTATTTTACTTTTCGGTTGTAATTTTTATTGTGTATATTGTTTATATTACTGTTTTATTAAAATTTTCAGTACACCTTGTATAACTTTTCAATTTTAATTCGTTTACTACTTTTAGAATATTTTTGTATTAATGGTCATTTTGTGAAATCATGTGTCTTCTTTTAAAAGTTTATGAGATGAAAGTTTGTCTGTTGAATGCAAATAAATGTATAACAGTTGTGAAGACATTGACCACATGAACCATCAGGTGATGATTGGTCTGTACAAAGTGGGGCTGATATCATATACTCAGTGGGAGCTATGGTGGCACAGTGGCTACATGCTTGCCTGCCAGCACAAAGGTCTGGGATTCCAATCTGCATTGTTTCAGATTTAGAAAAAAAGAAATTGAGATAGAAAGGACCTTGGTTGCCAGGTTGACCCATCCTGTCATAGGCACCAGATAGAGTCCTGGGAAAGTTAAGTTGGCTGGTGTAACTCTGGCTACATCACCCATTTAGTGCCGTCTCCTCTACAAAAACCTGAGTTTAGCATCATATGCAATAGGCCACTGGCGTTAAAAAAACCCTAACCTTTTTTTCCCAAACCAGACCATAAACTCAGTGCACTTCACGATGCAAAAAAAAAATTAGTGTTTTAGAACTAGGAGAGTCTCTGGGGTGAAGTAGTTAAGCCGTATTCCTCGCTCTGTAGGTTGTGGGTATGCCTTATGGCTGCGTCGTTCACTTCATCAGTGCCATTTTTATGGAGATCCCTGGGGATTATTGCCAGAGCTAATGTGTTGATACTTTGTGCGATGCTTTTGACAGGCGGCTAGCCTTTCTGTGGAAAGAGTCCGGGCTACATGGGATAAAACTTTATGCAGTAAAGCCGATCCTCTTGACTGTAACAACTAACCTTTCAACCTTTGTGAGTTCCGGGGACCCATTCGTGAGAGGGGGTGGGGGAGACAAAAAAAACTGACACCCTCCCCATCCCACACACCACACCCCTCCCCCTCCCACCCGACCAAACAAGCATGTCATATTATGTGATTAATTTAGGGTGTTTCCTTCAAAGTTGGAGTGTATCTGCCTGGGAAGTGAGGAACCCATAATCTACATACAAGTAAGCCGGATCTGTAAAGTATATATACAGGCAAAACTCAAGTTCTGGAACAAAACTAAAGTCCAGAAGTGGATGAACAACCAGAACTTTCTGCTATAGTTTATAACTGGCAGACACACAAAAAAGGAAGGCTCAGCCATGAACATACAAGACTTAAAGCATGAGGCAACGAATCACCACACATGGAGAACTAAGACTTCTGCCCTATGCGCCGCCCTAGGCTCAAGAGAGGAGACTAAACACGAAAAAGTGCTAGTCAGGTTGTTAATGAAGATAGTTAGAGGACAGATCATTCTAACTGGACATTGAACCTTTCAGTCCATGAAATATTACTGAATATTTTTTGCTATTTGAATTTGTTATTGAAGTAATATTTCTTTCGATTTATGTTTACAGTATTCAACCAAGGAGATGAGGGCAGATCTTGGTACATAATCCTCAAAGGATCAGTGAATGTGTCTATTTACGGCAAGGTTGTACACCTATCTTCCCCATGCTTATCATTTTTAACTCTTTTGGTACCAAACAGATTTGCAGCTGATGTCCATATTTTTAAACAACCAATAGGATAAACCATGAATATATTTCTTTCAGATCCCTGTGTGGGTTCTGGAGCCCTATTGTGGGGGAAAAGAATAGACCCACTGCCTCCCCGACAATCACATTATAAGAGTCGACCAACTGGGGCTTCCTTCGAAGTCAGAATGCATCTGCCTAAGAGACAGGGAACCAATAATCTGCATACAATTAAATCAGATCCGTTGAACAGCTGTGCAAGCAACACTGAGTTTCTGGAACAAGACTAAAGACCAGAAGTGGACAAACAACCAGAACTTTCCACCGGAGTATACAGCCAGTGAACACGAAGAAGAAGAAAATGACTTTCAGAGAAGCTAAATACTGTGCAAGCCAGATTTTCTTAGTGTGCTGTGGTCAGAAGTAGAATTTGCGGGAATATATTACATGTTGGGTGGGATTCACTGAAGACCTCATCAGACATTTAGAGAGGTAATTTATTTATTGTTCTGTCCTTATTTGGAGGGGGGGGGGTGTTATAGACCCACTCCCCCTGAACAATCATGTCATCTTCTTCTTCGCATTCACCAGCTGTACACTCTGGCGGAAAGTTCTGGTTGCTCGTCCACTACTGAACTGCAGTCCTGCTCCAGAACCTTAGTGTTGCGTGTGCATCAGTTTTACAGATCTCATTCTCTTGAATATAGACTGTCGGTTCCTTGCCTCTCCGGCAGATGCACTCCGACTTCAAAGGAAGCTCCCCAATTAGTCGACTCTTACGACATGCTTTTGGGGAGGCAGTGGGTCTGTTCTTGTTTTCCCCACAATGGGGCCCCGGAACCCACACGGGGAAATCATGTCATAAAAGGTGACTAATTAAGTTTTTGCTGAAATTAGATGTGGTAGGCTGAAAAGTGCAGATATTGCAGCCTAGCTGTAAACCACAGTACAATGTGTCAACCATCTTTTAAACCCTTTCACCCCAAGAAGCCAGAAAACTCACTATAGAGACACGTTTAAGACACATCTACTGGTTAACAGAATTCACTGCATCTGCGTCTGTACAAACGTTCAGTGTTTCAGGGAATTACTAAATACTAAAAAAAACATCATTTGAGGGGGAATTTTACAATGGATTCATTTATGAAATTTCCTACGTCATATTTGTCCGCTTTGCGTACAGGGGTGACCGAGTCATGAGAGGGTCAAGTAGTGTTATAATAAATGACAGAATAAATAAAGTATGTAATTTTTACCTAGATCATTGCAAATTTTATAATGGAAAGAAATTAAACTTCTTATAGGTAGACCAAATTAGTGAGTTGAGTTGGGTTGATTCAAGAACCGACATCACAGCACTCAGGCATTCCCATAAGCGCTCTATCCCCATCTTTAGCAGCTAGTGTAGAGTTCCGATACTAATGGTGCCAGTTGCATTCTGATTAAAAATCTGTCTTGACTTGCCTCAGAGCCTCGAATATCTGCCGGAACCCCTCGTCACTCCCTGCTGCATCAATCTCACCAGATTTGGTGATCCATCTGCTCCTATGAACTGTACACGTTTTCCCACAAGGCAATAACCATGTCTGCCTTATCATGCATCAATATTTCACTAAGTTGTGCAGAGCCAGCCAGTCTGTCCGCCTGTTCATTTCCCAACACACCGGTGTATCCCGGAGAAAAAATCCCGACAATACACCCATGTACTCCGTAGTGAAGCATGCCACTCTGAATGAAGCATGCCTGCCCAGATTAGTGAAATCTGATCAGTGGGAGTGAAGATTGGGAGAGTGGTTGCCAACATGGGGTGAGGATGAGGGAACAAAGCTGGAAGCGATACGGAAAGGAATTAATTAAGATAATATAGAAAATATACATAATAGAAAGGGTATGAATGTGGACATATCCCTTACCTGAGAGTATCTAAGCGTTCCAATGGTCTTGATGCTAACAGAATTGTTAAATGGCACTATGCATATATGAAGGCTCAGTCATTTCGATTTGAAATCAGGTAGACACAAAAATACATTGCACAGTTGATTGCCTGCCGTATTTCGCTGTACTCGTCAGCTGCATTACTACAGAGTTAAATAGCTTATTTTGAATCACAGACGTTAACCTTTTTTGCTGAAATACAAAATCACATTGTTATTGTCAAGTTTGGCTGTGCATCTCCCTACTGTAAATTCAAGATTAGCCACGTGATTACCATGGTAACTTCAATTTTATGCCGTGATCTTTTTGTTTACAAAAAACAGGAGAGCTCAGGTTTATTGAAATGGCCTCGGCCAGTTTTAGCAAATGTCTGTTCACTGTGTGTTATTTTGATTTAGGTTCTTAATTTGCTTGTGTGATTTTTCCCTATGAGTGTTTTGTTCGCCTTCTTTTGGTTTTAGGGTGTTGTCTGTGTTCTTGGAGAAGGTGATGACTTTGGTAAACTGGCTCTGATGAATGATGCACCAAGGTGATTGAAAGCCTGCATAAGTTGACTTCAATTGTTACATAGCAGTGTAAAGTTGTATACTTGACTAATTGTTAAGGACTGGAAAATTGTGCAATTTGACTTGAATTGTAACAGACTGTGGAAAGTTGTATAACTTGAATTTTTACAGAGCAGTGTAAAGCTGTTTAATTTGACTTAAATTGTTACATAAGTTGGACAGTTGTTTAATTTGACTTAAAATTGTTACGTTTGGTGGAAAGTTGTATAATTTGACTTAAATTGTTATATGCTGGAAAGTTGGGTCTGATTTGACTTAAATTGCTATGTACTAAAGAAAGATGTCTATTTGATTAGAAATGTTATAAACTGGAAAGATGTGATATAATTTTAGTTAAGCTGTTGCAGACTAGAAAGTTGTGATATAATTTTACTTGAAAGCTGTCATATAATACAGTGGACCAGAAAGCTGACATATAATTTGACTTCAATTTTTACAGAGCTGCAACCATAGTTCTTGCTGAAGATAACTGCCACTTTCTGAGAGTTGATAAAGATGACTTCAACAGGATTCTCCGGGTAATAGACTTCTTCCTCTCATCTTTCTTTCTTCATCTACTGGTCCTTTCATCCAGTTACTCTTTTTTTTCTGTTCCTATTCCATGTTTATTATGTTCAGGAAGAATATAAACAGGAAGAATATAAATGGTATTTATGTCTCTTGAGGTCCGATTTACATATGAGCCCAATAAGTTTATATCTGAACTCCAGCGGACCCTCTTTATATATATCCATATATTTTTTACAACTATGCTCTTCGGCTGAGATTTCATATGATCTTTTTTGTGCTTGTCTTTTTCTCCTTTCTTTTCGGTCCTCAGTCTTTTCACCCCTCACTGGTTCCTCTCTTTCATATTTCTTTTTAGGTAGGATGTTTATTTATTTTCTGTCTGTTCTTACATCACTTTATATAGGATGTTGATTTATTTTTGTCTGTCTGTCCTTGCATCACCTTATATAGGATGTTGATTTATTTTTGTCTGTCCGTCCCCTTACATTTTGTCTTCTATATATCGAATAGGTTTGTAGTGGTTTTTTTTTTTTTCTTTCACTAAGAGACAAGCATTTAGATCATCGTTCAATCAGTCAGTCAGCATGTCCATAACAGAACATTGCACGATCAACAGTTTTTTTTTTTCTGGCTAGGTCTCCAGCCCTATGTGCTTTCATAGCCATTGCATTTTTAGTCCTGTATCCATGTTTATTGAGGTTGGCTTCTGCCAAGTTTTTTGGAAACTCCACCTTCCATCACTGTTCTCTCCAGACCACCACGGCGCTTGGCATAGCCAAAATATATAAGCTTTCAGGACAGGATGCTGTTTATGAGCCAATCTACCGTGATGTTCAGGTCATGCAGGATGTCTATGTTTTTCTTCTTATTGGTCCACAGCATTTAAGAATCTTTCTTCAAAGATTGAGTGAGAGTCCATGACTCTCATCCATAAGTTACCATGGGAAAGATGCATAATCTCAGAATTTGTACTTCAGTGTCTGTCCTTACATCACCTTTCATAGAATGTTGATTTGGAAAAAAAAAACATATCATCTGTGCTTACATCATTAGAATATTGGTTTTCAAAACAATGTTTTCCCGTACTGAATTTAAATAATGCGGATACAAACAATACATTGCACAATTTATTGCCAGGCATATTTCACTGTATCTTCTTCCATAGGACGTCATCTACTTAATTCCGGACACATAATTGACAGACAGTGCTTTCTGTGTGGTTTACCACACTTTGAACAGGAGACTTTTGAGAATCGCCGAAGCGTTAATAATAAAAATCAACTACCCCCTCCTTTGTAAGCAGACGGAATTTATCGTAAATTTGAAGTTACCCTGGTAAGTCACCTGACTATTTGAGCTTCCATCGGCCATGAAACAGACGCAATGTTTTGGAAGGAACTATTCGCATTTCAGTTGAATTTATTCAGTTTTGTGCTTTATTTTATGTTGATGTAACTCTGTAGTAATGCACCTGATGAGATACAGTGAAATATGCCTGGCAATAAATTGTGCAATATATTGTTTGTATCAGCATCATTTAAATATTGGTTTTGTTTACAGAGAATCAAGCTTATTGTACGTCCTTGCTTCACCTTATATAGGATATTGATTTTTATTCATCATCATCTAGTGACAGATGTTGAATCTGAAACTCTGGATTCCATGGCTCCCTGTTTGGGGGGACAAAAATAGACCCTCTTCTTTCTCCTTAGTAAGCTTGTCATAAAAGGTGACTAAAAAAAGGATTTGCTGAAATTAGGTGCAATCTCAGCCTTGCTGTACACACAACACAGTGTGTTAACTGTTCTTTTAATGGCAATCACAGGTAACTTCAAATTTATCCTGTGATCTCTTTGTTTACATAAAACAGAAAAGTTCAGTTTTATTGATACAGACAAGAAGGAAAAATAACATCAGAGCACTTTACAAAAGCACGACCTGTCTATGGCCGAGGCAGCCAGAAGAGCTAGAAGCAAAACTTTATATCTACTTCGACACCTGGAGCGGTGAAAGAGGAAGTGAAGAAGAAGAAGAAAAAGGTTTATAAATCACTTGTTGTTAACACTAAAATATATCCCATATAAAGGATGTTGAGGCCTACACTGTGAGGCTCAAGGAGCACGGGCAGGATGTACTGGTGTTGGAGAAGATTCCTGTGACTGTGGACATGAATGGTTCATTCCATTCAGAGTATAAGTATGTTGTTGATAATTGTCTTCTGAAAGTTTTTCAAGTCTTTGTTATGTGGACTTTTCTTGATTGTTGACAACTTAATGAGACTAAATCTCTTATGTCCCTGTTTTTGTGTGTCTAAACTCTGTTGTATCTACATCTGTTGTGTCTACTTCTCACTGTGTCTACATCTCACTTTGTCTACACCTCACAGTATCCACACCTCACTGTGTCTACATCTCTTGTATATAGGTCTCACTGAATCTACACCTCATTGTGTCTACATCTCTTGTGTTTAGTCCACATGTCTTATATCGACATCTCACTATGTCTACATCTCTAATGTCTGCACCTTTCTGTGCCTACATCTTATTGTGTCTACATCTCACTTTGTCTACACTTCACAGTGTCTACATCTCATGTGTCTACACATCACTGTGTCTACATCTCTTGTGTCTACACATCACTGTGTCTACATCTCTTGTGTCTACACATCACAGTGTCTACATCTCATGTGTCTACACATCACTGTGTCTACATCTCATGTGTCTACACATCACAGTGTCTACATCTCATGTGTCTGCACATCACTGTGTCTACATCTCATGTGTCTACACATCACTGTGTCTACATCTCATGTGTCTACATCTCATGTGTCTACACATCACTGTGTCTACATCTCTTGTGTCTACACATCACTGTGTCTACATCTCATGTGTCTGCACATCACTGTGTCTACATCTCATGTGTCTGCACATCAATGTGTCTACATCTCTTCTGTCTGCACATCACTGTGTCTACATCTCTTGTGTCTGCACATCACTGTGTCTACATCTCTTGTGTCTGCACCTTTACAGTGAAAATCCTCTGCTCTGTTTTGCTCCTTAACAAGCATGTCATAAAAGCTTATTGCTGATTTGTTAAGATATGTTTTGCCAAAAAGCACAGATATCATGGCCTAGCTGTGAACCACAACACAATGTGTCACCCACCCTATTAAGAAGTTTGGAAAGATGCTTACTGAATAAACACAGAACTGTGAGTCTTGTAATCTCGCTTCATTCTTTATAGCATATGTCCTTCTACTGCAGGTATTCGGTGATGGCAGGCACACCAGAGAAGATGCTAGAATATCTTCTGGAGACTGGCATGGAAAAGAAAAAGGAGCACCCAACTTTAGGTCAGTTTTCTTCTGCGTTTCATTTCTGCTTTCAAATGTTGTTTCTTTAACTCTTTTAGTCCCAAGTAACACCCGGTACAGGCATGAATTTACCCCTTTGATTACCTTCCATAGCATAATGTACTCTCTTACTTTTACTTTTTGGTCAGAACATACTGGAGAAATCTGGCTTTTGGTTACTACAACTATGTTGATTGCAACTTTAAAAGTAAAGCATTCATGATTTTGCACCATGATTATTTTGTCACTATTGTTATCTCCTGTGAAACCCTCTGATACTGAATGAGTTAAATAATGCTAACACAGACAGTACATGGCTTCATTTTTTGCCTGACATATTTCACTGCATCTCATCTTGATATGTGTGGTGTTAAGCAGTCTCAAGGTTTCATTGACTCCTTCAATCCATTTTCTTCTTGGTCTTCCTCTCCCTCTTGATGTTTCAATTTTCAGGTTGTACGCTGTTGCTGCTGGCATTGTTAGTTTCATTCTCATTAGATGGCCAAACCATTTCATTCTTTGTTTCTCAATAAATTTGATAATGGGTGTTGTTCCCATAGTTCTTGTGATCACGTCATTTCTCACTCGACCTCTTCTGATTTTATTCACCTTTCCAGTGAAATACACAAATCACATTGTCTAGTTGTGTGTGTGTGTGTGTGATTTTAACATTAAACCTTAAACCTTTAACTATGGAAATTAAAAATTTACCACATGCTCTGTTTGTTTGCAGAATTCAAGTTTTTTTCATTTTTATTGTCACTGTTTTTGACAAATTAAGTACATGTCTATTCTATTTGTGGTAAACAACACGGACGGCACAGTCCCTATCGGTTACATGCTGGAGTCAAGTAGATGGCTTCCTGTAAAAGAATTGGAAGTTTGGCCAAATGTTTTCTACACACACATATATATATATAAATACAGATGAAGAAGTCAGTGACCACATAGACACGTTTTGATGTATAAGGTCCATTTGTGACTTCTGTTGTTTGCAATTCAGGAGAATTACTAACGGATGACCAGCAAGAATTTGAGGGTGTTAAAGTCTGAGATTGAGAGAAGAAAAACCCTGGATGGATTGACAGAGTGGCACTTCAGAGGAGCTGAGTTGAGTTTTGTTAGGAACTAGCATCACAGAACTCAGGATATTCTCATAATTGCTCGGTTCCCATCTGTTGTGAAGTGAACAAGTCCACCCCTACACCTTCGACTATTCGTGACGTTAACCCCCCTAGCGGGCAGGTCACATTTCAAATATAGACCTGTCTGGTGGGTATTTAGTCCCTCATATCTATTTATACCTTTATCTGGCGTAATAGGTATTTCTATAGACTCTAGATGTTTTGTGAAGTTTACATTTTCAAACTTACAGTCATGGGGTAGATATTTTCTGAATTAATATTCAGAATTCCGAGAAACCTTTTTACTCCTTGGCGTACTAATCTGGGCACTTCTTTCTGGGGACGCGACGCAAAATCGTTCTGCCTCATTCTCTGCCAGACTTTCTTTGATTAAATTTTAGCTCATATATAATACCAGTTTAATCTTTGGAGGAATCCGGGGCTTGGGATGATACCTCCCTGGAAGTCAGGCAGACAATCAGCAGTCTAATCAACCACCATCCACTAAAGTCACCTACTACCACAACTCCAACATGGCAGGAGCTTGTTTGGGCTCCAGTGGCTAAGAAACAGTTGTTGCAGGTCACCCATTTGTCATCCATCAAGGAGAACCTTCCTCAGGAGCTTTGTCGAGCTCCAGTGTACAAACTCTCTATGTGTTTACCAGGGCAACCAGAAAAAAGGAGCAGTCCAATCTAATCATGGACTGAGGAGTGCAGTGACACCTACCAAACTTGGATAAGTACTCTGTGATGAAGTGCCTCATGCTCTATTTACAGGTCCACTCGGAGTCACGATGATGACACCATCTTCAGTAGCCAGCGCAGTTCCTTTTTCCATCTTACCAGTAGTATCTCATTGTATGTCTGTCCCACCTTCCTCTGAGTGTTGATTATCGGCCACATCTCCTTATCACCCCTCGCCTCAGCATTTGCCTAGAACGTGATATGTGTTTTTGCTTCGACACCGTTTAATCATTCTTCTAAAACCTTGATCATTCCTAGTTGTCACGCATTAGTTTACCACCAAGTGGTGCAGTACCAGCCATTCTCTCTGCCTATTTATTTCTCAACACACCTTCTTTCCCTGAAGAAAATATCCAGCAAAGCACTTTAGTTGAATGATCACCTGATCAAAAAACACTTGAACATACCACACATTTCTTTTATGACAGCAAAAGCTCCGTTCTCCTGTCTCACGCTAGAATTGATCTCTGAGTGATAGCTGAGGCGATGAAAACTGATAAGGATGGATAAGATTTGATTGTATTTCCATTCCTCAGATACATTCCTGGATGATTTTCTGCTCACCCACACCATCTTCTTCCCTGTTGATAAGTTGTGTGCAGCCATCATGAACCAGTATCCTTGTTTGAAATATTGAATGCTTCTGAAAATTGTCTTACAGGTTTTGTGTGTGTGTGTGTGTTTTGTTGTTGTTTTTAATTTTAAAAAAAAATAATGAATAAGTAGCTGCGTATACAGTTGCCAATAATAATAATGACTTTAATTTTATTTCTGACTGTAAAACAGACGTACCATTTCTTCCATGTTTGATGATGACTTTAACTGAATATTTATGGTAAAACAGACTTACTATGTGTTCCATGTTTCATGACTGTAACTTTATTAGGATTGTAAGTTGCATATCCTTTAAACAATGTCACAAACCAGTCTCAGTTGAGTTGAATTATGAATTGACATCATAGCTCCTGGGACATTTCCCATCCCCATCTTTGACTCCAGCACAGAGTCCCAGTTCAGTGGCCTTTGATAACATCTTGGTAATCTGGTAATCTTAGTTTCAGCTTCATAGCAAACGGGTTACCCATAGTTGCTCCGTCCTGTGCCAAAAAACACACAAAATGTTTATCACAGCTCAAATGAAATCTGCAGCTCACAGTGTCACACCATGCACTCAACTTAGAAGCTGGGCAACGAAAATTTATCCTTCCAGTCTTCAAATGGAACAAAAATGCAACAATGATCATCTGGCAGAAGCAAAAAAATTTGCCAGGGCTAAAAAAAGTGGCCGTGCCTAGCGTCCATTTTGACCTGAAATATTATGTGAGAGTAAAAACAGTCACCCAAGCAGTACCCTCACTTTTAACTTAGGACATTACATCCACCAGCAAGCACCTGACTTCCTTCGTTAACGACTGTTCACCCAACAGCCATGCAGTTCTTTGGCACGCAGGAAACACCTTGAACTTGGGTTTCTGACTGCCGACTCGGACTACCAATAACATCTTGCTTGTCATTACTCAATTTACCATCAAATTGTGCAGAATCAGCCAGTCTGTCTGCACGTGTTTCCCAACACACCTGCATGACGTGGAGAAAACATCCAAAGGTCGCAAACCACCCAGGATCTCTAATGCGACACTTTCCACTCTATATGGAGTATACCTGTCTCTGCCTTTTTCAACATGCTCTGTGCATCAGTTACAATCATGATATGTGTGCAGCAACACCAAGTGCCTCATATTCTGCAGTCTTGCTAGTATAAGCATTGTGGAGAGTCTGAAACTTGTTCGGACACCTTGACCCACTCCTCTCCTCACTCAAATTTATCAAGCCTGCAACATGTCCAATTGTGTCTTCAGCTTGCGCCATCCAAGACCTTCCTTTCTTCAGTCTGTGACCCTTAGCTCTACCCAGGGCCTCATGCAGGAGGTGCTTCTTGTCTGCAGCTACTCTGAGATATGACTTTGCCTGCAGAACATTGAGCCTATCTGCAATAGTAAGCAGTGCAAGTATATATCTCTCGGACATCCCAGAATTACCAGCATGGCTTCATTCTGTATGTGTTCCAGTTTCATCTGCTGACTATTCGATATGGTAAGCTTTCCAAGTCCATAATCTATCACCGACAGAATCACATGCTGGAACATTGTGAACAGCATTCTTTGTTCCATGTCCATTGCTGCCATAATCTTGAGAGAATTAAGTTATTTTTGGCATTTCACCGCAACTGCCTCCACGTAATCCCTATAGGACAGGCTTCTATCAAAAGTGATACTCAGGTACCTCAGTTTGCTTTCTCTTTTGATGTTACTGTTAATAATTGTGAGGCTTGGAACATTAGCTCTTAAATTGAATTGTCCAGAGAACACCACAAAACACCGGCCTTTTCTGGGTTGATGACAGCACCTAACAGCACCCTGGTATGTAAGAATTGGGAACTCTTTTCATAACCCCTTGGCTAGAGAGAGAGAGAGAGATAAATACCTGGATGGCTCTGCCACATGGATGGGACCAGACAAGAACATTGATCTTAGGACCTCTTCCGTGATTCCGTGATCATGTGAGGTAACCCCCATAAGCGCTCTATCCCTATCATCAGCATCAAGCGAAGAGTTCCTATTTCGATGGCACCAGTAACTGTCTGATTGTATATCCGTCACGCTTTTTTCTTAAGTGTTGAGTGTGGGCTAGATCCCCTGGTAACTCCTCGCAGCGCCATTCTCCTCATACCGTAATGATCTGTTTGTGCCCTCCGCACTGTTCTTTGACTCCAAAAGGGTCGTCACAACATCTAGCTTGTCATACATCAGTTCACCACCAAGGGGGTGCAGAACCAGCTAGCCTATCTGCCTTTTTATTTCCCAACACACTAGCATAACCTGGAGAAAATATCCAAAGGACGCCAACTACCCTGGACCTCTGAAGCAATGCTTGCCACTCTGCATGGAGCGTGCCCGTCTCCACCTTTCTGAACATGCTCTGTGAGTTGGTTACAATTATGACATGTGAATAAGCCAGCAAGAATAGAAAGAAGCAGATATTCACCTATTTTCTAAAAACTATGTACTGCATTTGTTTCTGGGGGTATAAATACAAGCAGTTTAGTTTCCTTCCTGTCTTCAGCTTTGAAATAGTGTTATTGAAACCTGTTACGACCTTGACATGTTCACTTAGCTACCATTCCAAGACCAGTTCTAGAGCCGGACAAGAGGATGGAGACTTTGTGCTGTCACAGAAGAAATGTGTGATACAGTTTGTTATAGCCTGGCACGATATTAACCCGGACACATTCTCGGACTCCCCAACACTAAGCAGCTTCCTAGAGGTTTTACCGCATTTTTTTTCCTCATGCTGTTTGTCACATGCTTTTTTCCTCTCATTGTTTATGTCATTTTCTTGAATTTTTCTCATTGGTTTATCATTATTTATTTTTTGTTTTTTCAATTTATCACTCTCTTATTCTATTATTGTCGTTACATTATATTTGACTCTCATTATTTTTACATTTCTGTATTTTGTCAGTGATTTTAACATCTTTTTTCATATTGCTTTTATTATTTGTCACCTGTGGTTTAGATGTTCACGTGCGTTGGTGCCTTAGATCTCAGCTGCGGACAGCAGACGATCTTGTGTTGGTTTTAACAGTGGTTTCAAGAGCCGACAGTTCAGTAGGCTGCTGGACACTGGTTAGTTGCGTATCCTTTACAGGATGTTGCAGAACCCCAGCAGCCCCTGGCTGTTGTGTGGTTTCTCTAGGCAAATTTACGTCCATTAGTTTGCCATTGCTTTCTAGACAGTCTGCTCCATGAAACCACTGTCGAAACCAACGTAAGGCGCATCGCCCGCAGCTGGGATTGAACCTGGCACCCCGGCATTGCGAAGCGTTCGCATCGACTTAACCACAGAGCCGACGAGCTGGAAACTACTGAACATAAATCTGCATAGTGAAATCACAAACAGTAGAAAAAAATGCAGGGATTGTTATCATAAACCTGCTTATCGCCTTAACGGCAACGGCTTATTGGCAGCTCCATGACAGAAATGTCTGTCCTCAAAAGCAACTAAACCAACACTGTCAGGGCATACACATCATAAAGTGCAATGCCGACTGGCGTGAGCGATCAAGCCTCCCCACAATCAGTGATCTACGTGTATCAGTTTGTGTGTTGAAACCCCCACATGCTATGACAAAAGACTCAAAAATCTTCTCACGCTGTCTTCCTCCATCTCTCTTTCCACAAATCATTCCAGTGGTCACAACATGTTCCATTGTCCCTCTTCTCATAACATGACCAAAAAATGATGACTGTCTTTCTGATCAGAGCACACATCAGCTTTTAATATAATTTACAGCAGGCAGTCGACAGTTGGCCCTAGAGGTGGCTTGTTAACTCTACCCCAACCGCCCAGAGTGCTTTACTGTCGCCACTCATACATTGGCCTTCCATTTGTTCCCAGATCTGAACCAACAGCCTCCAATCCAGGCTCTTTCCTATATTTCTGCACCTTAATCCATGACTGGTGCGCTACTGCATGGCTCTAGCTAGTGTGATAAAGCAGTCCACATCACTGCACCGAGTTGCCTTTACTGACTAACCCCCTTTCATGAAACACCTCGCTGGCACACATCTAGGTACGTGAGTGAAAACCACTATAATTAAACACAACAAACTCTCTATTACACAGCCAATACACTGCCCATTCACACTTGAATTAATATCTTCAGTTGTGCTAGATTGAAAAATAGAACGCTATCACAAACTAACCCTCGCTTACTTAAATCAATAATGGAAACACCTACCCCTCAAAACACAACCCGTCATCTCCAGGTCTCTCAGCCAACTCCCCCGAAAACCCTTCATTCAGTCTGTTTTGTCCAGTCTCCCGATAACCGTGAACTCTATCAGTACCCTGTGAATCCTACAGTCTCCACTTGTCTACCACGCTTTCGTAGTCGTGAACTTCTGTGTTGAAACGCAGAGTCGCTAAGCGGTCATTTAAGTACTGATTCTGTTATTCACTATCATCACCTACACTCATCTCATAGCCACACAGACTCTTGACAATTGGTTCTGCAATACGCAACTAAATTTTAAATGTTATAAATATCTTTTATTATTCTCATTTCTTTCTAAAAATCATTCTTCTTCTTGTTACTTCCTGCAGCTACTTCATTGTTGTGTTGTGGGAGGGGGATGTAAGCATCTTCTGTGTGGTCTTTCCCATGTGTTGTATAAGCTGGTCTTTATTTGCTTTAATCTGTTTTGGATGCCATTGTTCCATCTTCTTCATGGTCTTCACCTTGCTTTATGTCCATTTGCTTTTATCATTTTGTTTAACCACATTGCTATTATTATTCTCATCTTTATTCTCTATAAAAAAAATTTCTCCTCTTATTGTTTTTACATTGCTTTTATCTTTCTCTTCTTTCCCCTCATTGTCATTATCATTTTGTGCATATTCTTTACAGCAGAGCTATTCATCCCGGGCCATGGGCTCGAGCTCCAGTGTAGAAAGATCATTAATACAACACATCTGGTGATGATCTGTGGGCCACTTGCTAGGCCTCCACGGGCCAGATTTGGCCTGGAGGCCACCACTTTAATAACCCTGCTTGACAGGATGCCACATTTGTTGGCTGTTTGTAGTTTTACAAAACTGCTGATAGAGACGTCTGGCGATCTCTCTGGCAAACCTCTACACCCCAAGGTAGAAGAGGAGCGACTAAGTAAGTAAGTTGTAGTTTTACTAGACAGTTGTTTGTTCAGAAGGGATTCCCATGATGAAGACTTTTGGCTGACACTCTCAAGGTCATGCCTTCCTTTCATGGTCTGTATCATTCGGTTCAAAAGTGCAAGTTTTGCGGAGATACCTGATGAATGTCACTGGAGCTATGGAGTGGGGTGATCTAGGCAGGCTGCTGTCTTTTCCTCAAGGAGGTTGGAAGTTAACTGATTTGACCATGTAATATTAACTTTTTCAGTACCCATAGTCATGGAAACTAAATCAACCCAACAACACAAGTCACCCACAATGTGCTATGTTTTTGGACCCTGTGGATGCAGTGTACCCATGCTTTGGTTTTTGACTGAACAAGTAAAATCTCCTAGATGAAGATCAACCTGACATACAGGTCTCTTATCAATAGAATTAGAATAATCAGATCAATCAGAAAGCCACCAAAGACGATTACCATATTTTTGACAGACCAGAGCAACATTATTCTACGCCTTAGAGCAGGACACAGTTGACTTGGCAGCCACTTGTATACAAAATTGAAAACACTAATGGAAGCCAAACTTTGCAGGCAGCTAAGTGAATTACAAAAGACAGTGAAGTTCATACTAGAAATAGCATTGCAGATATAGATAATTGATCTCAAGTGAACAAAAGAAAAAGAAATCTCCTAGATTCTGACAAAGTCAGTGTGTCAAGACTGTGGCAAATATTGGACTGCCAGTCCTAGACAAGGTTAGAAGTCTACTGGTTTGACAATGTTCTGTTGAATCTCCTAGATGTTGACAAAGTCTGTGTGTCAAGACTGTGTGGCCTATCCTGGGCTGATACCAGATCATGAAGCCCTTTTGGCTATTACTAATTTCAAAAAGAGGTATTTTTGTCTGTTTTAGTTAGATAATTATTTTATACTGCAGAAATAACATGTTCTGCTTTCTGGCACTGTTAATCTAAACGGTAGAAACCGTATGCTTTGTGTTTCTAGCACTGGTAATCTAATAAACTGCAGAAATAATGTACTTATTTTTTTATAGCACTGCGAATTACGTGTTTTGTCTTTCCAGCCCCAAAAGTTTCAGATATGTTTTGTCTTTCTAGCACCCATAGTGTCAGCAGTTGTTTTATGATTTTCACTATTTTTTTGGAGTGAGGTTAATAAGTTTTCTAAACCATTTTGTGATGTTGATAGTAATACTGTATAAACCATTTTGTGATGTTGATAGTAATACTGTATCATCAGCATAACGAATTTCTGGTATTTCATGACCACCGATGTTTAGGGCATCATATTGTTCCTTGTTTATATCATCTCTTACATTTCTCATTATATTTTCGGCGTACAGGTTAAACAAATACGGTGACAGCACACATCCCTGACGGACTCCTTGCTTGATGCCAAACCAGTCTGATGTCTCTCCATCTATTCTGACTGCTGCTTGTTGGTCTTGATAGAGCATTTTAATGAGCTGCACTATATGTGATGGAAAGCCCATATTCCTCATGATTTCCCAAAGCTTCTGATGTTGTACACAGCCCCATAGTGTCAAATATAAAATGTTTTCCCTTTCTAGCCCCATAAACTAAGATATTACAATGTTTTGTCTTCCTAGCCCCATAATGTAAGATATAATATGTTTTGCCTTTCTGGCCCCATAGTGTCAGATTTTAAAATGTTTCACTTTTCTAAGCTCCATAGTTTCAGATATAACACTCTTTTGTCTTTCTAGCCTTTTTATTGTCAGGAGTTACATATTTTGTCTTTCTAGCCTTTTTATTGTCAGAAGTTATGTCTTTTGTCTTGCTAACCTTTATATTGTTAGAAATAACATGCTTTGTCTTTCTAGACCCCATCATGTCAAATATAACATGTTTTGTCGCTCTGGCCTTCTGATTACCAGAAATAACATCGGTCATCTTGGTAGCCTTCATATTTTTAGAAGTAACGTCTTTTGTCTTTCTTCTTCTTCTGAAAGTCCATGCCATGTGGCATTGGTAGTCATGTCCTATCTACAACCTTCTGTCTCATGTACTTTCAACCAACTCCGACACAGATGATCCTCCATGCCATGATGTCAAACTGTTCAGCATCTTTTCTCTCAGTCTCCCGCTGCCTCTCCTCCCCTCCAACTTTCCTACTGTCACGATGTACTCCAGTTTTCTGTTTTCCCAGTTTTGCCTTTCTAGCCCTCAAATTATCAGGAGTTGCATGTTTTGTCTTTCTGGCCTTCATATTGTCAGATGTAACTTGTTTTGTCTTTCTGGCCCTCATTGTCAGATGTAACTTGTTTTGTCTTTCTACCCTTTATTTTGTCAGATATAACTTTTTGGTTTTTAGCCCCTAGATTGTTAAAAATAAACAGATTTGGTCTTTCCAGCACTGTAATTCTAAGAAACTACATGTATTTGTCTTTGTAGCACAGGTATTGCAAAACTGCAGAAGAAGAAATCCCTGTTCCTGAGTCGAAGAGGTCAGACGAAGACCGTCATTAATGAGGGAGATGGGGATAGAAATAGAATCATCAAACCAACAGATGAGTGTAAGTAATATATTTATCCAAGATCTCTCAGTCTTAGTCAGGGTTTCAACTTCACTGCAGTCAGGTCACCCCATACTTGCTCCGTCCCTGTGCCAGTGAAAATCAAATGAAATACCCTTACTTTTCCATTTGAAAAACTGGTGAACAAACAGTTAGTTCCAGCAGTCCAGAAATATGCGCATGCAGTAAATGCATAAGGCAGAGGCAACAGTCATCACCATAAATGCAGTTTGTCCTGATGGAAGTAGTAAGGCATGATACGTTGGCTATACACACGTAGCATTATTTAAAGGTTAGTTGCGTATCCTTTACAGGACGTTGCAGAACCAACCCTAACAGCCCCTGGCTGTTGTGTGGTTTTTCTAGGCAAATTTACGTCCAGGAGTTTGCCATTTGTCTGGAAGGTCGGCTTTCTTGATACCACTGTCAAAACCAACACAAGGCGCATGGCCCGCAGCTGGGATTGAACCCGGCATTACGAAGCATTCGCCCCACACAAAACTGGGCCCTGGAACCAACACAGGCATTCTGTTTTCTAAATGTTAAATTAAGAATCGACATCACAGCACTCAGGACACCCCCATAAGCGCTCCTTCCCATCTTCAGCAGCATAAAAGTTAAAATTCCGATGGTACCAGTAACTTTCTTCTTCTTCTTCTTCGATCCTTCTGTCAGAAAACTTATATCAGGAGGCCGGTAGCCTTTATGAAAGCTATTGTGCAATCCATATCCTCTCGTGTACCATACAGTTTTGTCTTCAGTGTGGTTGGAACAGGCCAGATTGCGTCTCTGTTGTCAGCATACAGTTGACAGTGTTGGAGCACATGCTCAGCATTTTCGGGTGCCACGCTGCAGGGACACGTCTCCGTATTTCCTACACCGAAAATTTTGAACATATGTTGACAAAATCTGTTGTGCCCAGTCCTTAGTCTGAATATAATGCACTGTCCCTCTCTAGAGAGGCGATGAAGTGAGTCTTGGGGAGAAAATCTGGTGTGGGTATCCAGCCACCTTTCTTGGATACTAGATTGTATTAATGTTTTCATATCTTGGTGGGTTAAGTCGCTATTTGGTTGTACCATGTCACTGCCGCTTCTGGCCAATCTGTCCGCTATTTCATTTCCTTCCAAGCCACAGTGACCTGGAATCCACTGCAGTACAGATTGTTCTACTGAAGAGCCTAAGTAAATCAGCTGTTGCATCAAGTCTACAAACTGAGTAGTAACTTTCTGATTGTATATCTCTCTCGCCTTTCCTCTGAGTGTCGAGCGTCGGCCAGATCCCCTTGTAACTCCTCGCAGCGCCATTCTCCTCAGACCGTAATGATCTATCTGTGCCTCGGCACTGTTCACTAGCTCCCAAAGAGCCCTCACAACATCCAGCTTGTCATACATCAGTTCACCACCAAGTGGTGCAGAACCGGCCGATCTGTCTGCCTGCTCGTTAAAAGAGCAGGCAGATAGACTGTTTTCTGAAAAAAGGCTGTGGGTTGTTGTGAAATAAATTCTAGAATATCTTATGTGTGCCTAGTTCATATTAGTAATGACTGTTTATTACTGTCATTTATTTTAAATGTCTATTTTTTTATGTCTGTAATCTCTTTATGGGTTTGGAGCCCTTTTTGGGGTGAATGGAGAAGACCCACTGCTCCTTAACAAGCAAGCAGCCTTGCTGTAAACCACAAAACAGTGTACTGACCGCTTTTCTAAGGCTGAATGCAGAAGAAGAAGATGTCTGTAAATCTTATTATTGTCTATGAAAACTGTCTTGTTTTTAGGAGTTTATAACACTGTCTTATCATTGTATCTATCAAACTGGGCTTATTTTGAAATGTAATACTATCTTATCATTATATCTGTAACACTGTCTTATCATCATGTATAGAAAATCTATCTTATTTTAGGTCTTTTCTAAACTATCCTACTATTATACCTATAAAACTGTCATATTTTTAGATTTTTTATAAACTGTTCTGCCATTATGCCTATAAAACTGTCATATTTTTTATAAACTGTTCTGCCATTATGCCTGTAAAACTATCATATTTTTAGATGTTTTATAAACTGTTCTACCATTATGCCTATAAAACTGTCATATTTTTAGATGTTTTATAAACTGTTCTACCATTATTTCTATAAAACTGTCATATTATTAGATGTGTTATAAACTGTTCTACCATTATGTCTATAACATGTCTTATAGTTGAATGTTTTTAAAACTGTGTTATCGTTATCTTTTTGTAAAACTTTCCAGTAAATTATGAATTGTATTTTTTTTTTAAACACCACCAGACATATTTAAAGTCTATTGTGCTGATCACACGTACACCACCATTCGACTTCCGGTCAACTCTACTGTCCGTGACGTCATCCTCAGTGCCAGGGACAAGCTGTGTCTAGGTCATGACCCAGTTTTATGTGAAGTCAAATCCAGCGGAGGTGAGTGTTGCTGGTCATGTGACAAAACACTGGTTGCCGATTGATTGTTTGTGTGCTTGTGGACTGACCTCCAGGATATGACAGTGGAGCTTTGTGTACGTCTGCCAGTGTATGGAGGTGAAAATGTGTCATTTGTGTCTAGTGGCAGACCAGGTGTAAAAATATTTATTGTCAGGTGACAAAAAAGACCCACATGCAGCTATCATGTGCAACTATGAGGCAAAAGGGACCCAAATGCAACTTTGAGGCAAAAGGGACCCACATGCAACTATGAGACAAAAGGGACCCACATGCAACTATGAGACAAAAGGGACCCACATGCAACTATGAGACAAAAGGGACCCACATCAACTATGAGACAAAAGAGACCCACATGCAACTATGAGACAAAAGGGACCCACATGCAGCTACGAGACAAAAGGGACCCACATGCAACTTTGAGACAAAAGAGAGCCACATGCATCTATGAGACAAAAGGGACCCACATGCATCTATGAGACAAAAGGGACCCACATGCATCTATGAGACAAAAGGGACCCACATGCAACTTAAAGGTTAAAAAGGACAAAGGAGACCTACACACAGCTGTAAGGCAAAAAGCAACATAAGCGACCCACCTCAGCTACAAGGCTAATCGAGACAAAAAGGACCTACGACAACTATAAAGCAAAAGGATAAGCTGTGTCTAGGTCATGACCCAGTTTTATGTGAAGTCAAATCCAGCGGAGGTGAGTGTTGCTGGTCATGTGACAAAACACTGGTTGCCGATTGATTGTTTGTGTGCTTGTGGACTGACCTCCAGGATATGACAGTGGAGCTTTGTGTATGTCTGCCAGTGTATGGAGGTGAAAATGTGTCATTTGTGTCTAGTGGCAGACCAGGTGTAAAAATATTTATTGTCAGGTGACAAAAAAGACCCACATGCAGCTATCATGTGCAACTATGAGGCAAAAGGGACCCAAATGCAACTTTGAGGCAAAAGGGACCCACATGCAACTATGAGACAAAAGGGACCCACATGCAACTATGAGACAAAAGGGACCCACATGCAACTATGAGACAAAAGGGACCCACATCAACTATGAGACAAAAGGGACCCACATGCAACTATGAGACAAAAGGGACCCACATGCAGCTACGAGACAAAAGGGACCCACATGCAACTTTGAGACAAAAGAGAGCCACATGCATCTATGAGACAAAAGGGACCCACATGCATCTATGAGACAAAAGGGACCCACATGCATCTATGAGACAAAAGGGACCCACATGCAGCTTAAAGGTTAAAAAGGACAAAGGAGACCTACACACAGCTGTAAGGCAAAAAGCAACATAAGCGACCCACCTCAGCTACAAGGCTAATCGAGACAAAAAGGACCTACGACAACTATAAGGCAGAAAGCAACACATAGGACCCACTGCATCTAAAGGGCAAAAGGAGATAACGGTGACCCACATTAACAGTTAGTCAAAAGAAGACAGAAATGACTCACAACTAGAAGGCAAAATGAGAAAAGGGGACATATGCACAACGCTAAAGCAAAAGCAGAAAAGGGGACACACATTATAGCAATAAGTCAAATGGAAGTAGAAGTGACCCACTCACAGCTATAAGTCAAGAAGACACAAATGTGACTTACCACAACTATAACACAAAAGGAGACAAAAGAGGACCCACATAGTGTGTTGATTAACACTGATGAGAGCAGTGTCTGTACTGGTGTGTAAGTTACATTGTTGCTGACAGTTTGAGAACAGCCCTAACCTAAGTTTAACTTTTGTTTGTATTTTTCTTCTGAGTCTAGAACGAGTAGTTTTCAAAGAAAAGGACAGATGCGTCATGAAGTCCCTTAGTCTAAACGGACGATTGTTCATAGCACCACGAGAACACTTGGATGCTTTGGTAAAATATTTGTTCGCATTTTCTTCTTTTTTCTTCCAACACTTTAGTGAGTTTTTTTTTTTTTTTTTTTTGAAGCATTTATTAATTTCTTATCTGAACAGTTATTATTTTATAATCTTTCAAAAGCAGTCATTAACAACTCTTTTCGTCCCCATGTAGATATTTGGATATTTTTTTCAGGTTATGCTGGTATGTTTGGAAATGAGCAGGCAGATAGACTGGCGGGTTCTGCCCCACTTGATGAATGACAAGCTAGATGTTGTGAGGGCCTTTGGGAGTGAGTGAACAGTGAGGAGGCATAGATAGATCATTACGGTCTGAGGAGAATGGCACTGCGAGGAGTTACTAGGGGGTTTGTTAATGATGGACACTCAAGGAAAAGGCAAGACAGATGTATAATCAGACAGTTATTAGTGCTATATATGTTGGAACTCTTCGTTCGCTGCTGAAGATGGGGACAGAGTGCTCATGGGAATGTCCTGAGTGCTATGATATCGATTCCTAATTCAGCATTCAACATTCCATCCCAGACACATGTTACTTTATCTCTTTATTCCCTAGAAGTTGTTACTTTTGATTAATAGAGGTTTCCGTGTGAAGAAATAGAAATACAAAAAATTATTAAACAGAACATATTAATTTGACAGGGGAGAAAGTGAGCTGGTGGAATAATTAGTTGGGGCATAAGGAGTTAAGAAAAGTAACCCATACAGTAAAAATTAGACTTGGTACGTTGCTTGTACTAAGTGACTTAAAGGGAATGCAGAGGGGCTGAAGGACATGTGATGGTACACCAGGACTAAGGCTCATACTGACTGAGGCCTATTGTCCCCTCTCCATGGGCATCCCGTAAACAGGTTTCTAAACTGGGGCCTGGCCTACACAGATGGGATTGATGTAAAGTCACGATTGCATCTGCCTGAGAGGCAAGGAACCAACCAGCTAGATCTGTAAAACTGATGCGCATGCAACATTCAAGTCCTGGAGCAACACCAAAGTTCAGAAGAAGAAGAACAACAACAAAAAGAAGAAATTAAATAGAAAACCAAGTACTGGGACAGCTAGCCCCTGTCTGACAGCACAAGACACTCCCAGTCGGCACAAAGAAACATCTCATACAAAGCATAATTATTCCCATTCTATGCTAACAGTGTCAGACATGGTCACACAAGAAACCAGGAAAGAAAATTAGCAGCCATGGAAATGAGATGTCTGAGAAGAGCTGCAGAAATGACAAGAAGAGGTAAAATCATGAAGGAGGCATAAGAGAAACAGTCATCACAGAACAAATTCTAAATTATGTACAATGATAGGAAATCAATTGGTTTCTCATTTAGAGAGAATGCCGTGTGATACCATACCATACAAAGCATACACTAAAAGAGGTTAAGGACACAGAGCACAAGGTAAACCAAAAACAAGATAGGAAGATAACATCAGAGAAACTAAACAACAATGTAGTGTATCTGTGAAAATTGAAAGGAGGATTTCAGGCTTTCAAATATAAATGCTACAAATGCATTTTACGAATTAGTTATTTAAAACACAAAACTAATAAATATGTCAGAGACAAAATATACAAATTTGCAGGACATCAGGAGCCTCTCTTGGTAGTGGTAAAATGTCGCAGTCTAGCTTGGTTTAGGCACGTGGTGAGACATGATTGGATTGCAACGACTGTACTTCAAGGAACATTGGGGGGTACTCAAAGAAGAGGAGGGCAAAGAAGAAACTGGAATGACAACATCAAGAAATGGACATGACTGAGTTATCATGCACTTATTCATCAAGCAGAAGACAAAGATGGCAGGTTTTATGTGCTAGTGCTTCCATCAATACACCTCCATGACCCTAATGGGTCAAGGGTTATGTTATGTTATGGTTGATGTAGCCAGATGAGCAAGAAGAAAAGCCTCATATGCCACCTGAATTGTTAACAGAGGAAAGGAAGAAAAAGAAGACTGACAATACACTGTGTTTGTCTGCCTCTTTGCACTATCTTTTTGTGTTTTTGTTTTCAGACACCAGTTCCAGAGCAAGAGGGTCCGAACTCTAGCACAATGGCCCAGCTGGAGCTGATGAGCACTAAGGAGCTGGCCCACCAGATAACCTTGTATGACTGGGATCTCTTTATTGCTGTCCCAGAGGTAGAGTTACACACTGTTGGTACTAGTTTGGCACATGTGTTTGCTTGTTCTCATCAAGGCTTATTCTCATCAAGGCTTGTTCTCATCGAGGCTTGTTCTCATCGAGGCTTGTTTACATCGAGGCTTGTTCTCATCGAGGCTTGTTCTCATCAAGGCTTGTTCTCATTGAGGCTTGTTCACACCAAGGCTTGTTCACATTGAGGCTTGTTCTCATCAAGGCTTGTTCTCATCAAGGCTTGTTCACATCAAGGCTTGTTCACATTAAGGCTTGTTCACATCAAGGCTTGTTCACATCAAGACTTGTTCTCATCGAGGCTTGTTTTCATCGAGGCTTGTTCTCATCAAGGCTTGTTCTCATCGAGGCTTGTTCACATCGAGGCTTGTTCTCATCTTCACATCGAGGCTTGTTCTCATCAAGGCTTGTTCTCATTAAGGCTTGTTCTCATCAAGGCTTGTTCTCATCGAGGCTTGTTCTCATCGAGGCTTGTTCTCATCGAGGCTTGTTCTCATCCTGGCTTGTTCTCATCGAGGCTTGTTCTCATCGAGGCTTGTTCTCATCAAGGCTTGTTCTCATCGAGGCTTGTTTACATCGAGGCTTGTTCTCATCGAGGCTTGTTCTCATCGAGGCTTGTTCTCATTGAGGCTTGTTCACATCAAGGCTTGTTCACATCAAGGCTTGTTCTCATCGAGGCTTGTTCTCATCGAGGCTTGTTCTCATCGAAGCTTGTTTTTATTGAGGCTTCTTCTTAACATTCGTTGGCTGTAAACTCCGGCGGACATTTCTAGTTGTTTGTCCATTCCTGGACTTTTAGTCTTGATTCAGAATTTGAGTTTTGAGAGCACATTCGTTTTTCAGATCTGGCTAATTTATGTGCAGACTGTTGGTTCCTTACCTGTCAGGCAGCTGCACTCTGACTTTTAAAGAAACACCCCTAATTAGTCACCTCCTATGACGTGCTTGTTAGGAGTAGTGGGTCTCTTCTTCTTCCTTCTCCAAAGTGAAGCCCCAGAACGCACACAGGGATGTCGAGACAACATATGTAAGTGTATGTACATTTTTCATACTACACTACTTATAAGATCTGCCAACTACCTCCAGAGGGCTTGATAGAGGAGAAAAGGATTTATGGCCGCATGGCTAGTGCTGTCGCCACGACTCTGCAGGTGAGGATTTTATTTTGTCCCCCACAGAAAACAAATCACCAGCCTTATGAGGATTCGAAACTGGGTCTCTCGCTTGAGAGCCCAATGTTCTAACCGTTCGGCCAGCCGCTACTCCATTATAACTGCACATTTATTGGGTTAATAGTAACACCTGCCTGCTATTTAGGGAGTTTCTTCAGTTCATGATAATGGCATAGTTTTTCTTCTTTTCATTGCTTTCAGGCGGGCTAGACCTATATTTTACAGGCCAATCGGCACTCAGTGGGTGATGTCAACACTACACTGGCCCCCTTTACTTCCCAAGAATTTATCTGGGACCTGTTTAATCCTTTGCTGACCAACTTCGACGATCGACGAATTTCCGGCCATATTCCCTGGTGACCAACTTCGACGATCGACGAATTCGCGACTTGTAGTCTGCCGACCGACGTCCCTACCGATAGTTTTTTAATTAAACTGCATCCGGGTATTCTTATTGTTCCAAGATGGCCGTAATTTCGATTCATATCGATTAGAGTCATTACAAGCGGTTTTTTTCAGTGAAATTTTGTTAATTTTTGTGTCAAGTGCGTATACAGCCTTTTCATCATGTCTGATGATGAAACCCAGACCTGTAACAGAGACGATTCTGACTCTGCAAGTGATTATGGTGCTGAAAGCGATGATTCCTGGCTTAGTAGAGATGCACCAGTGGACGGTATCGCAACTGAAAGTAGCGACAGCGATGATGGACTTGATGAGGCAGGTGATGTAGGCACTTCTGTTGATAGAAGTGGGCGTGGCACAAGAGACCAGAACATTTCTACAACTGAAAATGTAGTTTGGAAATGGAGAAAGGCTGCTGAAAATGAACTGTTGAGATTGACAATCTTCGTCCATACCAAGAACAACAAGGTGTTGTGTCAGACACAACTGGGTTTGTGCTGATTAATTTTTTCAAATTTTTTTCCTGACACTGCCATAGATCTGATCACACGTGAAGTCAACAGTTATGGTGAAAATCATCCGTCTCAGTACACTGGAAGTGCCAAGTACAAAAAACTTACTTGGAATAAAACTGATGCAGTTGAAATTTCTGCATTTATAGGCCTTCACATTGGTATGGAAAAGTGCTGTAAACCAGTATTGTTTAAAACTAGAGATTTATACTGGTAATTCAAATAATGTTGTGTCGGGACGACTTCCACACTTGTAAAAAGCTTTCTTGATGGATACGAATATAAAGGACATATTCTGTACTGTGACAGTTTTTATTCAAGCCCAGCTTTATTTCAAGAGCTAAAAGAAATGCAGATTGGTGCATGTGGCACAGTGTCTGAAAAAAGGAAGAATTTTCCTGAGATGTTAAAGAAAAAGCAGCTGAAACTGAAAAAGGCAGATAATCCTGTGTTTTGTGTAACAGAAGATAAAGCATGTTGGCCGTTACCTGGCATGATACCAAGAGAGTGAACTTAATTTCTACTGTTCACTCTAATGATGTCATGGATAAGACAGTTAGAAAAAGGGGAGCTCCTGAGGGCAGAATTATAAATAAGCCTGTTCTGGCTGAAAAATACAACAGAAGTATGGGTGGTGTCGATCACTTCGGCCAACTTGCTGCAAACTACCCATACCCACACAGATCCTATAAATGGTACCTGCCATTGTATCATTTTTTTAGTTGAAACTGCTCTGGTGAATGGGCATATAAGCTACAACACCGTCAACTCTACAAATAACAGCATTGAAGTTTAGACAGGATGTTAGTCTTGCTCTTATCTGGTTCAATGCTGCAGTTTTCGCCTACGATGTGTACGAGGGATTTCAGATTAAAGAAGAGACATGTGTTGCAGTGTTGGACTTAGAAGATGCCTACAATAAAGTACCATACGATTATTTAATGCAATTACTGCTTAAACTAGAAGTTAATCCTATTCTGATCCGCTGGATTGCTGCGGTCCTGTTCCAGAGAAAGATTGTACTAAGATGTGGTAGCTGGTCCTCCGAACCGCAAATGATATGTCCAGGCTTGCCACAGGGATCACCGCTATCACCAGTCTTATTCAACGTTTACACGGTGATGATCACTGAGCAGCAGTTGAATGGAAAGGGAAGGACTTTGTCATTTGCTGATGACATTTTGATTTATCGACGAGGGGCGTGATAGACAGGAGATCGCCAGCACTATGCACAAAGAACTCGATCGAATTGCCGCCTGGTGTGATGGTTCCAATGCCTATGTCAATCCTTCGAAGGCATCAGTGTCATGGTTCTCTTTGAACAATCACATTGTCAAGTCGGACTTACCAGAAGTGAAAATGCGTGATAATGCATTGATCAGAACCAACGTTATGACGTTTCTCGGGGTGAGGTTCGATCGCAGCTTGTCATTCAGGGAACACGTTGACCATGTGATAACAAAAGCACGCAAAGGTCTATCTGCAATGAGGATTATGGCTGCTTCCAATATTGAGCAAAGACTACTAATACTTCTATTCTACGGTCTGGTCCTTTCCCCCATAGAATACGCTCTGGCCATCCTCACTGTCAGTGCTACCCAGATTGAACGACTCGAAAAGGTGCAAAATGAAGCCATGCGCATTATTTTGGGATGTACTAGAGACACATCCTGTGGAGCAATGAGGTATCTACTTGACTTTCCAACAATGAACCAAAGGATCAGGATGTGGAGGGCTCGGGCATATCTCAAAATATGCGCTGATAAGAAACACCCACTGCATCAAGCGCTTTTTAGTGAAAAGGGCGACAGACTGAAGAGGGGGAAATCGTGGCTAGGTCGGGCAGAAGATGTCATTAGGCAAATATGCAGCCTAACCGACATCATACCTGGTGCAGAATGGATACCTGTGCCTCAGGCGTTTATTTGTACATTTTCCTGTATTGTCACACTCAACAGGCGATGTAGAGAAGAGAATCCTGTTGCTGTTAATGCAGAGGTCAACGCTCTCATCGGTGAAAATTCAGATGAAGCAGATGCAATAATCTATACAGACGGATCCGTTATACGCCAAAGAAGAAGCGCATGGGCATTTACAGCACGCTCAGCGGGCAGAACAGTCAAAGAAGCCAACGGCGCCTTCTCCATGACAACCAGCAGCATGACGATGGAGGTGTGATGGCAGTGACACAAGCGCTTGCCTGGCTTGAAACACAAAAATATACTATCAGTCATCGGACGTTGGGGTTCATACTGAGGGGAGGATCTGAGCACCTATGGACATGTCCGGAGTGCAATGAGGATAACCCAACTAACTAACTAACTAACTAACTAACTACTAAATTATCTGACCTGCTGTTCTTGGGCACAACGTAATACCTTCAAGACCACAAGTCACAACATCACGACTTACCGAACGCCATTTTATTGAAAAATATGAAAAGTTAAAGAACAAACTAGACTGTAAAGTGTGTAAGGCTGCAGGTAAAAGAAGCCAGACTTGCATGTACTGCCCAGATTGCAATACACCTCTATGCTTGACACCCTGTTTCAAGCTATACCATACAGTTGAGGATTATCAACGTTCCTGACAAAGACTCTTGCAGAGTTCTACAGCTACAGCTTCAACTTCAGTGAATGAATGAAGTAGCTCAGACTTTAGCTAGAGGTTAGAGGTGTTTTTGTAATCAAACAAATCCTCATTGTAACATGCCACATAAACACAATACACTCAAGAAAGAAAATATAAAAATTTTTTTAGTTTATTCAATTTTTTTTTCATTTTAATTTTGAAATATTTGGTTAATCGTTAAAAAAGTACTCATACAAAGCTTATTTTATTCATTGCCAAGCATGTCCCGAACATTTTGTTGCATTGAAGTTGAACAAATTCACTTAA